GTCCCACAAGGTTCAAAACTTGGTCCTGTCTTATGGAATATTATGTACGACAGTCTACTGGGCATAATACTCCCGCAAAATGTCTCAATAGTAGGCTTCGCAGACGATGCAATAATAGTGGCAATGGCGGAAACATCGGCCCTACTAGAGGTCATCGTAAACGACACCCTGAGAATAGTGATGAAATGGCTGACGTCCAAAGGGCTGGAAGTGGCAGCATTGCTTATCACCGACAGACGATCCTGCTCCAACCCAACATTCCTAGTAGGCAAGGAAAAAATACAATGTCGCAAGAGCCTTCGCTAAGCTTTCACTTCGCCCTAGGAATGGAAATTGACAGGAAGCTAAGTTTTGGACCACACGTTACCGAGACGACAAAAAAAGCCCTAAAAATAGCAGCATCGCTTTTAAGATTGATACCGAACTCCACGGGCTCCAGCGACAAGACGAGACGACTTTTTATGAGTGTGATGCACTCGAACATGCTCCATATTTCAGATTTAGAACATCGTAATAAAATGTATGAATTAATGATATTGATAAATTAAGTACTACGAATGCACCATACCTAGGTTTATTTAATACCATTTTTTATTTCTTCTGCATAATAATACATTATCTTTATCAATAAGAGTTCTCGTAAAATATTCTTGATGTTTTTGAAATTCTTTATAGTTGGAGTGAACTTCTACATCTTTTTAATACGTTTTCCATTTGTTTACAATATACTGCATTATTCATATGTTTATGGAAATATTTTTCAAAAATATTATGTGCTTGAATTTTATTTTCAATAATGATTTCTTGTATAACATATTTTATCATTCTGTAATCAATAACATTATTAATTTTATCTTTTAATGTATTCCTGGGTGTCATATCTTTTGGTTGATTCCCTATTTATTTGTTTATAAGATCTTGATCATAGTTTGATAATTTATTGAGATTTTGAATACAATGATCAGGACATACAGGAAAATCTTTAATTGTATCATGTAAATGATCTGAAATGCATAATTTACTTCAAAAGTATATCCTTTACATCCATCATCAGGTAAATTCAAAATATCGATTGTAAATAATTTTGTTTCCTTATTAAAATTTCTAATTGGTAATCGTTGACAATGCAAGACCATAAAAAATATTACAATATAAATACATGATGAAACCTAAATAATTTTTACTATTGTCAATACTTATTGTTGACATTGACCGCCAAGTTAGTTCAAATTTGGCGCCAAACTTCAAAGAGCTGTTTCGCCACTCTTTGAAGGCATTTAAGAAAAAAAGATGATACATTTTAAACTTCCCGCTCCTAAGATTCAGAAAAGCTAAAAAAAGCCGCGCGAATTCCATCCCAGGCGACCATTTCTCATTTCTTTCGTGCAAAGCTCTTCTTTAAAACACCAAGCGAAAAATTCGTTAGGAGAATGTTTATATTTGCCCGGACATAACGGACTTTGTCCGTCATCATTTCTTTTCCAGAACACACTCATCTGATGAGAACTTTCGATGGAAAAGGCGATGTTTGTTGCAGTTGCCGCTAATGCTCTCCCAATTTATCTAAACAATATTGCTTACCACCTACGTTTTTAGCTTTTTCTTTTGATAAATTTATATTTTATTGAGATGTTTGTCATAGAAATAACAATTATATGCAAATGCATATCTGTTAGCAACCATAGATTACTCTTACGTATTCGTCTTTCAAATAATTCATACAAATCTTGATCAGTAATAAGATCTAGTTTTGACCTGTGATTTTAACCAATGCATGATAAGCTAATTAAGGCGCCGGTGCATAATATACTGGATCTAAACTAAAATGTTTATAAAATGTTTCTCTAAAACTATTAAATACGTCGCTTAATTAAAGAGAATATAATTTGAAATATAAATTGCGATAATCTAAATGTTTAGATTTTAAATGTTTATATATTTGTTTCACACATTTTAAATCTACTTGTTTATTATTTTAAACATCTCCACTAAACATCGTCAAATGATAATTCGTGTTGAAATTTCACATAATTATCAAGATATTCGTATGGATAATACCCTGTTTGTAGTGCTAAATGAATATCTTATTTGAATATGTTTCACAGATATTTAATTTTTACATAATCACTTGGTTTTGAAACTTATTATTTCATATTTTACATATTGCATGAGTTTTTAATTTACCATTTTCACTGATATGTTGAGATTTTACATACTAAATAGCTTGTTTAGATTTACAATGACCGCAATATCTTTTATTCACTTCAGTTTATTTTTTAACCGCTTGAACTATTTAAAATCTATATGTATCAATAAATCTAAATTCAATATCATCAATAAGAGATTCTTTCGGTATTATTTGTTTTTCTTGACTACAATATCGTTTCTTTCATTTATTACATATCCACATAAGACATGTTAGTGTTTCACTTACAATAATTTTTTTAAGATGATACATATTTCTTTGATATATTTGATGTTATCTTTTTTCTGTATAATCTTCACTATATTTAGATTTTGATTTAATTAATCAAAAAACTGTAAAAAATGTTATTGACTTATATGGTGAAGATCATCGTTTTTTGTTAGTACCAGAATCCCTTCTTATCATTTTAACTATACATATATAGTTGAAAGATGAGTAAAAAATTAAAATAAATGAATAAAAATAAATTTTAAAATAAGCCCAAGAATAGCATTATTTTAAACTATACTTTTTTCCCGAGCTATAGAAAACTTATTTGCATCAGTAAACGACTTTTAAGTATGATTTTTCTGCATTGCTTACAAAACATATATTGTACTGATGTTACTAATGCGATATGAACATGAGTAAGTTTGTTTTCAATAATTTTTAATTTGCCCTTTGATGCACCTATCTTCAAATAATTTTCTAAAAAATATGACAGTTATTCTTTAAATTAAATATGTAATCGACAATTCTACTATTTCGTTTTCCTTTAACTTTATTAGCTCCAATTCCATTTCCAGATATCTTATCACGATGAAAATTAAATATTTTTTATATTGATGGTCGTTTTCAAAGTCAATAAGTTCTCCTTTGGACATTTTGAACATCCTTTAATATTATTGCACTTACAGTACGCACACATTTCCTTTCAATTCATCTCCATTTAGTAAGATACATTTTTATTAAGCAATTTTTTATCGATCAAAGTCGAGAGAAAATATATAGTTATTGAGAGAAAAGCATGTTACAAAAAACCGATTATTTTTTATATATTTAATGAAGATGATAATAGTTTATTAATAGAGGATTTGAATTTATTATGCATACACCTAATATTGAATTACGTTAGAGTATTTGTTAAGATTGTAAAGAGTATGAATTTTTAGTACAAGCGAATCAACCATCGTGTGCTGATGATTGTCAAATAGATGATTTTAATACTGAAATGAATGATGGTAATCAAATAGATGAAAATTCTCAAATTGATGATGATACTCAAAGTCATTATAATATTCAGAATGATGATACTCAAATTGATGATATCGAAATAGATGATGTTGAAGGAACTGATATCGAAGATGAAGATGAAAACGATGTAATTCATTTTTAATTTTGAATCCTAACATTAGAATAACCAGTTATTGTGTTTTATTTAATCAAATAACATATTGTAATTTATATCGCCTCTTATTATATATTTTAATTTGGAGTATTCTCTTCAGCCTAAATTAGGCCTGATGAAACTTGTTCTAATAACTCCATAGAATTATTATTTTCTTACTATTTATTTACCTTTTGCATCTATATCACATTTAAATCTAGAATGACATTCTGTAATATTGTAAATTTGTCGTGGAAATGCTACCGAAATCTGTGATGCGATATTTAATATTAATTCTTTAGAAACATATGGGTTCATAATCTTGTCTAAATTAATATTATTTCCTTTAATCAATTGGTATGGGCGAATTCGCAAACCTCATTTTTTAGAATACTTTATAAATTGTTTTATCTGATCTTATTTTTTTTATAACATGAACTCCTTACTATTTGACATAATATCGTTGCATTAAATTATCCAGCTGATATAATACAATATTTGATTTTTCTATCTATGAATTATACGTTTACACATGTTCTTACCATTTTCCTTATACTTTAATTTCTTTTCGTTTTTGTCACTTTTTGTATTAAATATATATTTTTTTAAATTCATATTCATAAAACAAACCTTCAATATATTTAAGATGATATGATTACGATTGATTTTAACAATTTCAAATATTTGCATAGACTAATCACTAGTGTATGATTTATAAATACAGATTTTATATTACTTACACTTACATTAATACCAATTTTGAATTTCGGTAAAATAAATGTCTTATCTCTTTTATATTTTTTAATAATATTTTTCACTATATTTTTTTCTATCAACAGTTTTCATTTGAATAGTATGTGTAGTATGATTATATTCATCTATTAATTTTGGAAGTATATTCAACTATTTTTAATTATCTTGAATAGCAAACTGTTTCCACATTTTTTCTTTTTATTTATGATTTAACAGACGCTTTAAGTTATTTTGGTCAATTTGTAGTCTATAATGGTGAATTTTATACTGTTGCATGAGATGTTGAAAATCTTGACTATACATTTTTTTACCATGACCTGTTTGTAAATATTCAAGTATTGTCTTAGAGAATATACATTCATAGCACTACTTATATTTAATCGTGATTTACTATTAACTAATAAATCCCATGCATATTTGGAAAATACATGAATAATATATTTAAATATAAGAATATTCGTTATTTATTTTTTATATAATTTTTAGTTGATTCGAATTCATTTCTATTATATCTACTTGCCATAATTCATCAATCTCAATGTTACAACTCTACGTCATGGAAATTTTTTTATTGGTTTATGAACTCCATCGATAATAGTTTCTCGACTATTTAGTTTTTTTACAAATTTACGTTTTTCTTACATATTCCAACTATTTTAGATCTTCCATTTCCTGCTGTTTCCTATTGAATTTGAAACGTGTCAGTATTTTTTACATTTCAGTCAACATGTATCCGTTTATAGGTTCAAAAATATTCAAGATTGATGCTTGAATAAATAATTTTTGAGAAATGGGTATGTTCATAGCATCTTTACTGATTCGCAAAAAATACTTCATCTCCAATACTCGTTTACATTGGAATGGTTGCAATAACTCACATACATTTCGTCACAATCTTCCGATACGTCCAAAACAAATGTATTTTATACATATATATATATATA